TGCTTCATTGATTTTTTGTCTCATTCTCTGAGTCTCCATTGCATTGATTTCTACTCTCATCTTTATAATTTCTTCCCCAGTATGTACTTTGGGCTTGTGCTGTTCTTCTTTTTCTAAAAGCTTGAGGTTCAGCATCAGGTTGTTTAATTGAGCTGGCTCTGTTTTCCTAATGTAAGTATTCACTGCTATGAATTTGCCTCATAAGACTGCTTTCATTGTGTCTCATAGATTCTGATATGTTGCATTGTCATCATCAATTAATTGTATAAACTGTCTGATTTCTTCTTTAATTTCCTCTGTGACTCATTGGTTATTCAGAAGTGTATTGTTCAATTTCCATGTGTTTATGAAATTCTTGTTGTTTCGTCTGCAATTGATCTCCAATTTCATCACATTATGGTCTGGTAATATACAGGGATTAACTTCAATTACTTTGCACTTACTTAGATATGTTCTACGAGTGAGTATATATATGGTCTATTTTGGAGAATGACCCATGTGCAGCTGAAAAGAATGTGTATTGTGATATTGTGGGGTGGAACACTCTGTAAATATCTGTTAAGTTTGCTTGTTCAAGAGTTTGATTGAATTCTAAAATTTCATTGTTTATTTTTTGTCTAGTTGATCTATTTGTGACAGTGGGGTATTGAGTTTTCCCACTACTATGGTACCAGTGCTTATTTTGTTTTTCATGTCCATTAATTTTTTATATAGTTGTGCACACTAGTGTTTGGTGCATATGTATTTATGATTGTCATCTCTTCCTCTTGGATTGTTCCCTTTATTATTGTTTGTTTGTTTGTTCATTTGGGTTTTTTGAGACAGGGTCTCACTATGTAGTTGAGACTGACCTGGAGCTCACTATGTAGCCCAGGCTGGTCTTGAACTCACAGTGATCCTCCTGCCTTAGCCTCTTGAGTGCTGCGATTATAGGCATGTGCCACCCCGCCTGGCTTGGATTGTTCCCTTTACAAGGATGTAGTGTCCTTCTTTGTTTCTCTTAATTAGTATTGATTTGAAACCCACTTACTCTGCAAAGGGGATAATGATTCCTGCTTTGGGGGGGGGGTCCCTGTCACATGCAGTATTGTTTTCTACCCTTTAACTTTCAGTCTGTGAGTTTCTTTTTGAATTATGTGTGTTTCTTGTTTGCAGAATATTGTTGGATCTTGTTTCTTGACCGGTCCTGCCAGTCTATTTCTTTTGATTGGTGAATTAAGACCATTAATATTGATGATTTAAACTTCTATGTATTGGCTTATCCTGGTCATGATTTTTTATTTTTGTAGGATTCTCCCCCTTTGCATTTAATTTGTTATTGTGCTGATGGATGCGTTCTTCTGGTCTTCCTGGGGTTGTGATCCTCATTGTCTTTTCTTAGGATATTGTTTAAAATTTTTTGGAGTGCTGCTTTGCTATTCATGAAGTTTCTGAGGTGTTGTCATGAAAGCATCTTATTTCTGCATCAACTTTGAAAGATAGTTTTGCAGGGTGCATCAATCTGGGTTGGAGGCTTCTTCCTTTAGGGCTTGAAATATGTCATTCCAAGCCCTTCTTGCCTTGAGGGTTTATGTTGAAAGTCTGCTGTGATTCTGATGGGCTTTCCTTTGTATGTGATTTTTTTTCTTTTCTCTAACTGCTTGTAGAATTTTTTTTTCTTCTATGGGATCTCTGGAATCTTAATTATTAAATTCCTATATGTAGATTTTTATTTTATTATGGCTAGCTGGAGTCCTATATACCTCACTTATCTGTATGTCAAGTTCCTTTCCCCTAATTGGGAAGTTTTCTGCCATTACTTCTATGAACAGGTTTTTTAAAGTCATCTGCCCTCTCTCCAGTTTCCTCATTGACTCTGATCAGTCTTGTGTTATTTTTCTTTGTATCCTCTAGCAGCTGGTGAAATGATTTCTCATGGTCCCTTACTATTTTTAAGAATTTTTCTTTTCCTGAGCAATAATTGCAATCCTATCTTCTATATCGGAAATTCTCTCCTCACCTTGGCTCATTCTGTCACATAAACTTTCAATGGAGTTTTTAATCCCTAGAAATCTCTTTGCATCTGTTTTATACATTCCATTATTTTCCTACATTGGAATTCCACCGTGTTTCTCTTCTCCTCCATATTTTTATGTGCTTCCACTCTAGTTTATTCATCATGTCTTGCACTATGGGCACAATCTCTGCTGTTATCTGAGAAAATATTTTTTATTTCTTTTTTTTCAGATCCTCTTATGTTGCCAGTTCATGGAGTTCAGGTGGTTGAGTATCAAATTGCTCCATCTTGTTTCTTTTTGGTATTGCCTTAGGTGATGTGGATGTCTGGTTTTGAGACTTGTTTACATGTCTTCTCATTGCAAAAAATGGACCCTGTTGTGCCTTTGTTGAGGCAACTTCTTGTCATCCAGTGGTCTACAATTCTCAGCAAGCCACTGAGCAGAGTTTTCTCTGCTGCTCACCAGTACACCAATTCCTGGTTTTGGAATAGTGGCCTTCTGAATCCCTGAGCTTTGTTGTCTTGGCAGGCTTCTGGCTGGGGCCTGTGTACACTTGGGATGATATCTTAGTGTGCCTCTGGCTGGGTCCCCTGTGTAGCTGTTCTGTGAGGGCCTTTGGCTGAGGGATGTGCACCCCAGTTCCTGTTGTCTGAGCAAACTTTTTGCTAGGGTCTACTCACTTATTGGTGGTATCTGGGTGAATCTCAGGCTCTTGCTTGTGCATCTGTACAGCTAGCTCTTTTCCAGGTGGGCCCTTGGCTGTGGCTGATGTTATGGGGCAGGCCTCTGGCTAATGCTTGTGTGCCTGTGCCTCTTACTACTTTTATTCAGTCTTGTTTTGGAAGTTCAGGCCAAAGTAAAAAAGCAAGAAATATAATTTATAAGCATTTAAATTGGTTAGAAAAAAAGAAATAAAACTGTCTGTTCACAGATAACATGATCATAGGATATCATATACAATGTACCAAAAGATTCAAATTGCTGATAAGCTAAATTAAAGCTAATAAATAGAATTAATAAATAAGTTTAGTTAGGTTACATGATATAACAATATGCAAATGTCTATCATAAATTCTAAATAGTAGGAATAACCAATCTGATATTAAAAATTTTAAAACAGTGTGATTTATGATAGCACAAAATGAAATTTGACTTCCCAAAATATTGAAACTTGTACCCTGAAAATTATAAAACATTACTGAGAAAATTAAAAAAAACACAGATAGATAAATAAAAAGTCATATGAGAGTCACAGATCAAAAGACTCATTGTTAAGATATCAGTTCTGGGCCGGGAATTTAGCTCAGCAGTTCGGTGGCCTGCCTCACAAGCCCAAGGACCTGAGTTCAATCCCCAGTACCACCAAAAAAAAAAAAAGAAGATATCAGTTCTCTCTGAATTATCCACAATCCTGATCAAGGTCACTGCAAGATTTTTAATAGAAAATGACAAAATGATTTTTAAATTCTTATTGGAATTTGAAAAGTTTAATATACCCAACACAACTTTGGGAAAGAAAATTAAAATTAGAAGTTTAACCTTACTTGATTTTAAGTTCTATTATAAAGCTAGAAATTCGAGACAGTGTGTTTTTAGTATAAAATTTAGACAGACAGATGAATGGAAGTTAACAGAGTTTCTGCATAGACATATGCAAGAGACTTATTGTCAATAAAAGCACAAAGTCAGTTCAGTGAAGAAAGGATTTTTTTTTTTTTTGTACTGGGGATCGAACTCAGGTCCTTGTGCTTGCAAGGAGGGGGCAGAACCACTGAGCTAAATCCCTGGCCAGGATAGTTTTTAAATAGTGCTGAATAATTGGATATGCACATCCAGAAAACTGAACTTCAATTTATACTTCTTACTATATGTAATAACAATAACAGTAATAATAATAATAACAATTCAAAGTGGATTGTAGTTCTAAACAGAAGATCTGAAACTACAATATATCTAGGCAAAGATTTCTCATATATAACACCTATTGCATGATTCATAAAATAATTAGTTGATAAATTGGAACCCTCTTTAAAAGACAATGATGAAAATACAAGCAACAGAGTGAGAGAAAATATTTGCAAATCATATATGTGATTTTATACACATATATAATACATTTTAAAACCCTCACAAGTTAATAACAAAAACAACCCACTAAAAATGAGCAAATACTTGTACAGACATGTCCTCAAAAAATATGTGATGATAAATAAGCACATGGAAAGACAAGCACCATTGGTCAATTAAGAAACAGAAATTATAACCTTTATGAGCAATTAGTACACATCTATGGTACAATTCTGAAGACTAACTACACCAAATGTCAGCAAGGATGTGGAGAGAGTAGAAACTTACACAGTGCTAGTAGGACAACTACTTAGGAGACAGTTTGGCAAGTCGTAAAAAGTTGAACACAGGTGTACCATATGACCCAGATATTCCACTCCTAGGTGTGTACCCAAAAGATGCAAGAGCATATACCCACACCAATGCTGGCAAGTGAAAGTTTACAGCAGCTTTATTGGTAGTAGCCCCAAGCTGGAAATACTTGAGTGAATAAGCAAGTATATTCATTCAGTGGAATAATACTCATCTACAAAAGGAATAAATGTACTAACAAATGAATCTGAAAATAATCGTGCTGAATGAGATAAACCAGACAAAATATTACATGTATATGGCACCACTTATAAAAAATTGTAGAAAATACAAACTTATTTGTAGTGCCAGTGAGTAGAAAAGTAGTGGTCTATGAGGAAGGGAGGTTCAGGAAGAGGGGAGGGGAGGAATCACAAAGGGACATGGGAAAACTAGAGAGTGGAGGATACACTTAACTCTGTGGTGCTGATGGTGTGGGCTGTATTCATCAACATGTGTCCATTTTACACTGCAGATGTGTGCAGTTTATGACATGCCAGTTATGTGTCATAAAAGCCACTAGTACATAGGCTTAGTATCATCAGAAAGTGTCCACTGTCCTGACCAGGCACCTGGCCATATCAGTTACAGAATGTCAACACCCCCCTGATGCGGAGGCTGGCCCATCTCAAACTGAGCTTTGTGGAGACTTGTCTGGACATGCTTCAACTCACCTGGGAACAGGCACTAGAACAGCGACTGGAGCAGGGATCCTTGGAAAAGCTGCTGGCATACTATCTGCAGAGCACCAGTGACTACACAACCACCGGGCTGGTGATTATCAGGCAGTCTTAGCACACATCTGCAGGGAAGCTCCCTGAGCCGACATCCACTAGGCCACTCACACTAAGCACACCCTTCACTCTAGAGGGATGTGGATCATTGGGGACCCAAGTGTACCTCCTGTCTTTGTAGCTCTTGATGGTTGGATGATGTGGCTTCCAAGACTTGGAGAAGAAAGTCACTGGACTTATCTAGCTGATTACATGATGGTCTTATTGGAAGGTGCTTCCCATGTGACCTTACTGCTCCTCTCCCAAGCCTTGAGTGCACTTCAGCTAATTATCCTAGCATGCTAAATGGCTCTATAAAGATGAATTACATTGTTTTTTAAATACTAAACTATGGACAGGGGGTGTAGCTCAGCAGTAGAGAACTTGCCTAGTGTGCATGAGGCCCTGAGTTCAATCCCCAGAACCACAAAAGAAAAAAATTCAGCTAAATTGAATATGGGAAATACCTGTTGTGAAGGAAACATACTTTTACATTTTACATTTTCTTACATGTCATGAAATATGAAACAAATTAATTTGAAATGAATGTTAGTCAACCAAAGATAGTTCTAAAATTGAAACTGATTTGTCACTGGGCTCCAATTCAAGGTTTTATAAGCAGCCTTTTGTGACCTAAGCTTGGAAGACTCTTACACCACCAAGCAGTACCCCACAGACCAGGGGTATTCATCAAAAGTGCCCAGATGTCCTCTCCCTGCCATTGGGGGGGTAGGCTCATGGGCTTCCTGAGCTTCCCCAGTGGGTGCATGGCTGCCCCGTGTTAGTCAGTGGTGACTATGTCTCTTTCTTTTCCTGAAGCAATGGCTCATGCTGAAGAGGACCCTGGCACACACAGCACTGGCACAGCTGGGGAGCCTGCAGCCACTGTGTGTGGGCTGCGTGGATATCCATGCCCAGCTCCTGGGCCTAGCTGGGAGGGCCCTCCACCTGTTAGCCATACAGGTGGACCCCCTGCATCCTTCCTTCCACTGGGAGGAAGGCCTGGTAGGTGTCCTGCTTCCCACCCACATCTGGGGTTCAATCATCACCTGTTCCTAAAGAGCACAGGTGTTGGGCTTAGGACCATCTGTTCTCATGCTGGAACTTGGATGTGAGAGACTCATTGACATCCTCAGCGAGGAAGAGCATGACCCTAGCATATCCCCACCTCAGTGGCTCTTCCTGGCCAAACACAAGACCCTGGGGAGCTTCGGAAAGCCTGAAGCATTGATGTGGGGTGTGTTGAGCTCTGGGTGCTAACTTCATCCTAACATGTGGTGAGACAGTCCTGCCTACCTCCACTGTCTCCTTCTTGAACACCTGTATAGAGGCAGTTCCTGCACCTGGAAGGTATCTGCCTTGGTGGACAAACCAAGATGTTCCCACAGGCTTGCTCCTTTAGGAAGTCTCCCTAAGTTAAAGAAGCAGGCTCCACATCCACCAGCATCAACACCAATGCACTACCCAGCAGTGTCTATGTGGCCCATGGATCAGCCCCTTATGGCTGTTTGTCCTGGGACCTGAGGACCTAGGACAGGAGGAGACCCTATATTGGGTGCACAGGTGGCTGTGGCCCTTGATTCAGCCAGTGCTCCTGAATGTCTGCACAGGAGTTCTGGGTCAGGTACAAGTGAACCAGAAAGGAGGCCTTTGCCCACCACCCTCTCATGAGCTGCTGTCTTCATTCATGGGATGGTGGAGATAACCCCTGCAGGGAGGGGTTATCACAAAACACTTACAAGAGTCCTCCAGGAAATGCACAGACCTGGGGTCTCCAGCCCAACCTCTCACCTCCCTTTATCTGTTCCTTTCCTTTTTTCATAGATGTGTCTTATTGTTAGCCTGTCTTCTTGAAATAAAAGATGAAACCATTGTTCTGGACTTTCTCTTTATATTGCAAGTGGTATCTTTCCTCTAAGTCCTGTTTTGGCCAAATTTTTATGTTGATGTATAGTATCTTCATTCTGTGCATCAGTTTAAGTGTTTTCTAAATCCCACTGTGATTTCTTCCTCGAAAAACTGGATAATTCTAAATGTGTGGTCTAATTTTAAGGCACTTGTGCTATTTACAGGCATTTTCTGCTACTGATTTCTTGTCTGATTTCATTGTGACTAAAAAAAAACGGATAATCTCAGTCATTTGAGATTTCTTTTTTTTCCCCACACAATGCTATTTTAATTAATTTTATTGGTACATTTTAGATGTACATAATGATAACATTCATCATGTAGAATTTGTACTTGTACATGATGTATCTTGATTCTTCTTTTTTCACCTTTCCTTCCCTTCCCTTCAACCCCTCTTCCCTTCTTTATTTACAAAAGCTTTGTTTCCATTTTTTCCTTCTATTTTCTCTTTTTCCCTTTTCCCTTCCTTTCCCCACACCTCTCCCTAGTTCCTCCTCCCATTTGAACATTTTCTTTCTATTTCACAATACCTATTATACACCTCTTCCCTTTTATTTACAAAAGCTTTGTTTCCATTTTTTCCTTCTATTTTCTCTTTTTCCCTTTTCCCTTCCTTTCCCCACACCTCTCCCTAGTTCCTCCTCCCATTTGAACATTTTCTTTCTATTTCACAATACCTATTATACATTTTGATCCTAATTTACACTTTTCAGTTTCTCACACCAAAGAAACCATGATATATTTCAATGTGTGTCCAATTTATTTCACTTAATATTATGATCTCGAGGTACATCTATTTACCTAGGAAAGTCTCAAGTTTATTCTTTATGGAAGAGTAGTACTCCATTGTATATATATATATATATTTTTTTTAAACAATGTCTTCTTTATCCATTCATAGGTCAATGGGCAATTGGGCTGTTTCCAATATTTAGCTATTAAAAACTGCTGCTATAAACATGGAAATGTATATATCATTGTGGAATAATGTTTTTAACTCTTTTGGGAAGAAAGATATCTAGAAGGGCCATAGCTGAGTCAAATGGAATCTCTAGTTTTAGATTTTGAGGAATATCCACACTGACTTCCACAGTGGTTGCACCAGTCTATACTCCTACCAACAGAGGGAAAAGTGTTCCTTTTTCCTGACAGCCCATCAGCATTTGTTATTGGTTAACTTCTTGATGGTAGCCATGCTTTCTGCAATGAGATGGAATCTCAGTGTTCTTTTAACTTGCATTTCTTGAGTGGACAATGATGTTGAAGATTTTAAAATATATTTATTTGCTATTTGTACTTCATCTGAGAAGTGTGTATTTCAGATACTCATTTTTTGATTGGGTCATTAAATTTAGGGGGTTTGACATTTTTTGGTTCTTTATATATTCTATATATTAATTCTTTCTGAGGCGCAGCTGACAAAATATTTTTCCCACACTGTGCGCTTTCTCTTCACTCTGTTGGTAGTTTCTTTTGCTGTGCAAATGTTCAAAAGCTTTTTAATAAAATGAGATCCCAGTTGTTCTTTGTGATATTTCCTATGTTGTTGGGGTTTTGTTCATAAATTCTTTGCCTACACCAATGTCTTCAAGAGTTCTCCTTGTCCTATCTTCCAGCAGATTTAGTGTTTCTATTTTAATATTTTGTTTGTTTGTTTGTTTATTGGTACTGGAGATTGAACTTGGGACCTTGAGCTCGCAAGACAGGCAGCCAGCAGAACCACTGAGCTAAATCCCTGGCTCCTGCTTTAATCTTTTATCCATTTGATTTTGATTTAGGGCATGGTGAGAGATATGGGTCTAAGTTTAATCTTCAGCATGTAGAAAGTTAGTTTTTCTAGCACCATTTATTAAAGATACTATTTTTCTTTCAGTGAAGATGTTTAGCCCCTTTGTCAAAGATACGGTGGCTGAGTGTATTTGGAATTGTTTCTGCATCTTCTAGTCTGTTCCACTGATCCTCAGGTCTGCTTTTTGCCAGTGCCATGCCGTTTTTATCATGATAGTTTTGTACTATAAGGGATTGTGGTGCCCCCTGCCTTGCCTTTGTTGCCCAGAATTACTTTTACAGTTCTAGGTCTCTTCTGGTTCCAAATATGATTTGTTTTTAGGATTATTTTCTCTATTTCTGGGAGGTATGCTATTGGTATTTTTATTGGGGTTGCATTAAATCTGTATAACAGTTTTGGGAGGATGGCCATGGTCTGGTCATTATACTCATTCTTCCTACTGAAGAACTGGGGATATCATTTCATTTTCTGTTCTCTTCTTCAATCTCCTTTTTCAAAGTACTGCAGTTTTTAATGTAAAGGTCTTTTAATTACTTCATTAGATGATTCCTAAGTATTTCATTTTTCTTGACACTATTATGAAAGGTGTGGTTTCCCTGATTTCTCTCTCAGTGAGTTTGTTATTTGTGAACAGGAATGCTGTTGATTTTTGAATGTTGACTTTGTACCCTGCTGTACTATCAAAATTGGTTATTAAATATAAAAGTGTCTTGATGGAGTTTTGGGGGTCTTCTATATAAAGTATCATGTCATCCACAAGTAATGATAATTTAACCTCTTCCTTTGCTATTGATACTCCTTTTATTTCTTTCTCTTGTATAATTGTTCTGGCTAATGTTTCCAGAATTATGCTGAACAGGTGCTGATAGTGAGTGTCCTTGTCTTATTACTGATTTTAAAGTAAAGCTTTCAGTTTTTGACCATTTAGCATGGTGTTGGCTGTTGCTTTGTCATAAATGGCTTCTATCAGATTTAGAAAAAGACCATCTATTCCAATTTTCTGTAGAATTTTTATCATGAATGGGTGTTGGACTTTGTCAAGTGCTTTTTCTGCATCCATTTACAGGATCATGTAGTTTTTGTCCTTGACTCTGTTAATATGATGTATTACATTTCTTGATTTGCATATGTTAGACCAACTCTATATCCCTGGAATGAATCCTATTTGGTTATAGTGTATAATCTTTTTGATGATATGCTGTGTTTTGATGATATCCCACTGTTTGCCAGTAACTTAGTGAGAATTTTTGTATCTATGTTCATTAGGTAGATTGGCCTGTAGCTCTCTTTTTTGGTTGGATCCTTCTCTGGTTTTGGTATCAGGGTAATGCTTGCTTCCAGGAATGCCTTTAGGACTATTGCTTCCCTTCTCAATTTCGTTAATGAGTTTGAGTGGTGGCATTAGATCTTTAAAGTCCTTATAGAATTCAGCAGTGAATCCATAAGCATTTAGGCTTTTCTTTGTTGGTAGATTTTTAATGACATCTTCAATTTAACTGACTGCTATTGGATTATTTATAATCTTTATATCTTTTTGATTTAGCTTTGGTAATTCATATGTATCTAGAAATTTGTTCTTTTTTCTGTTTTCCATCTTGTTAGAATACAGTTTCTTAAGGTGGGTATTAATGGTCTGGATTTCTGCAGGATTCATTGTGATTTCACCCTTTTTATTCTTCAGTGTGTGGATTTGGGTCTTCTCTTTTTATACATAAGATTGGCTAAGGGTTTGTCAATTTTATTTAATCTTTCAAAGAACCAACTCTTCAATTCATTGATTCTTTGACTTGTTTTCTTAGTCTCAGTTGCATTAATTTCTGCTCTAATCTTTATAATTTTCTCCTTTGTATGAATTTTGGGTTTAACTTGTTCCTGTTTTTCTAGAAACTTGAGGTTCAACATTAGGTTATTTATTTCGGCTCATTCTGTTTTTCTGAAGTGGGAATTTACTACTATAAATTTGCCTCATAGGACTATTTTCATTGTATCCCATAAGTTTTTTTGTGTTATGTTGACATTATCATTTAATTGTAAAGACTGTTCAATTTCTTCTTTAATTTCATCTGTGACCATTGGTTGTTCAAGTAGGTGTTATTTAATGACTATGTATTTATAAAGTTTTATAGATTACTTTGCCATTGATTTACAATTTCATTGCACTATGGTCTGATAATATACATGGGGCAATTTCAATTCCTTTGCACTTACTGTGTGTGGTTAGTGGAAATTACTACTTCTCAGAGAACTCTTTCATGTGTAGCTGGCTTTGGGTTTTGAGTATGTTGCAAGATCTCACCTCTTAAATTTATTGGGGATAGGAAATTGCTGCCTAGTTGGCCTAGTCTCTGTTTCTTTGACATTGGCCTCATGTATTGTTTATGACCCTTAGGCAATGTCAGTCCTGGTATACAAGGAAGAACAAATGATTAGAACAATTATGTCACCTTGGCTAAAGTAATACAATCAGTAACAACAAAAGTATCAAACACACTCTAGAAAATGACAAACTATGATAAATATTAATTTGCTCCTTTATCCATATGAACAGGATCTGTAGTTATATAACCAAATCTAAAACAAACCCGAAAAATTGTGTACAGTAAATATCCCTTCAATATGGTGATTTTATTCTCAGGGGAGAAAATTTAAAATGGTCTAGGGGGAAAAATAGAGAAGTAGAAGAAGAGAAAGATGTTAGAATTAAGGCTGGAAGACAAAGGAAGATTACACAAGCTTTGGGAATGGATGAAAAAAAAACCAGGAAGGACAGCAAGAAGGAAGAAACAAGTACAACAGAACAAAAAACTACAAACAATCTTCTAACCCATATAAAAACAATGATGAACAATCAAAAAAGAGGAAAAATAGAAAATGAATAAATAAGCAAAAAAAGGAAGGAAAGTAGAAAAAATAATGTCCACTTGAGGGTGTATCTCTGTTGTCACTGGTTGTCAGGGGGGCAGACAGCCCAGATCCATGTTTATTGATCCCAAGAAGACAGCAAGAGAATTTGGTGCTGGTGAGTAATCCCAGCACAGCTGGGCCTTTAGTTCCACTCAAGTTCAGGCTGCTTCTTGTTTCTGGCTGTGAGGCAGGGTCCTCAGTCTTTGAACCCACCCCACAATACTCCAAGTGTCTCCTGCCGGTTTAAACTTCACTGCCTGACTTTCTGCCAGCTTGGACTCACTTGTGCCTCACCCTGATGCTTGGAACCACTAGATGGAGCCAACCTGCATCTGCTCTGAGTTCTGACTTCTGTGGTCCCCTTTCCAAAATGACTACTGGCCATTTTCCCCATCGGGAGGGGCATCAGAACCTGAATAACTCACCAGCCACTGCAGTCCACAGAGTCCACTGCTCCATTCCACTGGGTGCATTTCTCCATGGAGTCCTCTGGGGTAGTCGCCATGCCTCTACAAGTTTTAGCTGCCTCTCCCACCCCTCAAGCTGGGATCAGGGAGAAAGCTTTGCTTACCATCTCCCTCTTCCATATTAAGGTCTCCTCTTTGCTCTGCCCATGGGCTCTAATTCTTACTTCAGATCCTCACTATCTGCTGGGGACCCATTTTCCTCCTCTTTCCTCTTCTTCACATTGCTATATTCCAGTGTCTGGATTCCAAATATCAGAGAGGCTGTTTCTCTGCTGCTTGCCATTCTGCCATCTTCCTAGTGGGATTTCTTGAGGTTGCTGTGGCCTAGCCCTGGGTATATCCTGACATCAGTGAGGCAGTGTTCTCTGGAACCTCCCAGCCCTTCTGCACATGAGTTGACTTTGCATGCACTTGATCTGTTAACAACTGGGGAAGTGTCTTAAGATTTTCACTGGAACTGTAAGACCTCACGACAACCCTACAAATCCCCTAACTCCAGGTCCTCAGGGCCCGCTGTTCCCTTGGGTGGCCTGCCTTTTTCCATCCTCTGCTTCTATCTTTGTCTTCTAGCCAGAGTGAATGCATTGAGAAAGGGATGGGCATTTGACTCATTGTGGTGTTGACCAACACCAACACGAAGGTGCTTCCCAAGGACTTCATGAAAATGACCACAGAGTGCAACTGATTCCAGGACTCACACTACTTCCTCAGAGCACAACCTCCACACCCAGGCTGCAACTTTTGCAATCCTCTCAGGATCTCAGGCCAAGGCTCCTCCAAATCCACTACAACAAGACTTGGGCAGGCTAGGAAGGCTCCAGGGTCCACGAGAGGCCAGACCAACCTTCAGTGCCCCCTCCCTATCCCTGTCCATGCTGACCAAGCATGAATCCATACAAGCCTACTGATCACGCCGTGTGTCTCATAGGTGGGTGCCAAGCTGAGTCTCCAATCTCTAGACTTAGAAGCACAGGACAGGTTTGTCAAGACTGCCACCAGGGACCTGCTGGCCTTTAGTGAAGGAGCAGAGGAACGCAACAGGAAGGGTGAGAGTCTGAAGGTAAGTACCTAAGCCTGGGTGGCCTCTGCCCACTCAGCCTGGCATAGCCTGAGCCTTACTTACACTGCCCACAGAGGAGGATGGTGCTGTCCCAGCGATACCTGGCCCAGGCATCCGAGGTGCTGCTGCAGTGCCTACAGGTCGCCCTGAACAGCAGCCTCCTGGACATTGCAGCAGCTGCCAGCCTGGAGATGGTTGAGTGCATTGGCACCCTGGACCCTATGGCCACCTGTCAGTTCCTGGCACTATCTCAGGTATGGGGCTACTCTGGGCACCTCCAGCCAGACCCTTCTCAGTCCCATGGGAGGGAGGAGGCCCCAAGCACCCAGCTGGGCTGTAGCTGGGCCCTCACTGTGGGGATGCACCCCATTATAGAGAGAGCTAGCCATGGTCACTGGAGAAGGTGAGGTCCTCCCTGTTCCCCTAAGCTCCAGGCCCCACAGCCCCACAAGTAGTGGAAGCTACCAGCCACATTTTCTTGGTGCTCATGGGGAACACACAATTGTATGCCCAGCCCCAAGTCATCACAGTGGGCAGGTATAGAGATCCAGCAGTAAAAGGCCAGTGTGGCCCTGCCTGTGAGGACCATGTCATGGAGGCCCAAGTGTGATCCCATGTGACTACAGGCAGCCAGGAGAAGCACTACTTCCTGGGGTATTTGTGCCAGAACTGCCTGGCCAGACCTCCACCCAATCCAGCTACAGTACACCCTTCCACAGGGCCAGCTGTAGTCACACCACACATGACATCTCCCCATCATCTGTTTTAGAGCTGCTCAGCAGCGGAGATGATGCGGGACATTCTACTCAAGGCCACAGCCAATACCAGCAGCTCACAGCTAGCAGCCCTGCTGCAACTCCAGCACCAGCTGAAGCTGCGCGATAAGACTTCCACCAGCCTTTTCGCCAGAGTGGAGCAGAGGCTGGCTGCTATTTCCAAGGTAACTAGGAAGAGAGGCTTCTACACTCCTTCTCCTGCTGGGCGTGCAGGCCTCCACTCCCCTCCATCTATCCTTAAAACAACAGCCTTTAAATTACACAGGCTCAGGTGTATACCCCACCCTGTTCCTGCCAGCTGTGCAGTTCTGGGAGCCTCTCTGAGACTGTTTCCTCCTGGGCCTTATGAGACAGTGACAAACCCCCTAGAAAGTGGCCATGAGAGGCAGAACCAGAAGAAGTAGCACTATTGACAGTGCTCAGCCCCAAGGGTCTATGAAAGGGTGATGGCTCCCTTGCCCTCACTCCAGGAATCATCTTAGACCCCAGGTACAGTCAGAGAGTAGCACCCTGAAAACATCTGCAGAGTGCTGTAGCTAGTTACTCCTCTTCTCTTACTTGAAGTAGCAGATCAATTCTGGGTATTTAAAGAAGAAAGGTGAAATTTCATAAATCACAGAAAATAGGCAAGAGGGCTCTGACAGAGTGTCCTTTGCTCATCTTCTTTCCTGGCTGCTTCCTAGTCTTCTCATACCCCTGACTCCTACCCCTTCAACTAGGGTGTTGTTGTTTGTTTTTGGGTTTTTTTGTGGGGGTTTTTGTTTTTTTTTTATATATATTTAGTTTGGGGTCTTCCTGTTAGTGGGGTGGGGTGGGGCTGCTTGTGCACCAAAAAACTTTGGGAAGCATCCCTGCCTCCATACCTTGGATGCCAGGAACACTCCCACCCTGGCCCCATTGTGACAACTGAAACTGTCTTCAGACAGCACCAGTAGGAACAATGTCACCCTGCTGAAAATGGTGCCTCAATTGGGAGTTGGAAACCCAGCCTCTCTCAGACTCAGGAGGCTGAAGAGGAACAGAGGCTGGCCCAGGAGCAGAGGATGTAGCCAGTCTGCACACTCGACCTGCAGGAAAAGCCGGCGCTTGTCCCATTCGATGGCAGATAGGGGGACACCCACCACATGGAAATAATGGGGGCCACTTAGACAGCACTTATGGGACAGGAGATGAGATAAGACCTGGGTGGGTGGTGTATACAGTCCACACACCAGCCGTGGGCCAGGTCCCATACTGCTGCCGCAAGCTGGGCACAAAGCAGTGCTTACCTTGTAGGAATGGTGGGGACAGGAATGCCAATGCATTGCAGTGTTGTATCCAGGGCTGGAGCAGACGGCCATCGCCTCCTCCCTCTTTCTCTGTGCACAGACCCAGGGTAGAGTTGGAGGAAGAAGACTGAGGCCATCATGAGCCAATGACAATGGCCCCAGTCAGAGCCAGGTAGGTGGCACCTGTTACACAGCAGCAAGAATTAGCTAAGCTGAAAAGATGTGATGGGAAAAAAGTTAGCTGGCTGTCTGTTCTGGGTTCCAGTGTTCAGTAGATTCCCAAGCACCTGGGACAGACTGATCAACATGCAGGAGAAAGGCAGCAAATTGAAACAGCCACCAGAGGTCTCTATTGTGTCCCCACCTCACGGAGCTCATCTGAAAGCTTCTAGAAGGCAGTAAACCTGGGAGATGCTGAAGTCACTGGGGCTAAGGCTGTCCCTAGGACACAAGGGGCCCATGGAGCATCCACAAGGTCCACTGGAAGTGAAGAGGCAAACAGGCTCCAGGGGAAGGTGTGCAGCCAAGCTCACAGAGACTGGAGTCCAGAGAAAACAACCTAGGGGAGAGGAAAACACAGGGAAGACAAAGGAGTGAGGAAAAGGCGACTCTCAAAAGGCTAAAAGCACATTTCTTTGAGTCTTCTAAAGAGTAGACAGTTCATTCTGGGCATGGGACAGAGGCTGAGGGCTCTGAAATCCCAGCTAACCCCTTGCAGGACAAACACCAGGATAACTACCCATGGATACACAGAGCAAGGAGACCCCAGGGCCCAGAGACAACCCTCCAAGCAACCATAAAGAACAGCACAAGACCCTGGATGTGTCGAGGAAAAGAACGGCCACCTTGAATATTTGAAAGTACAGTACTCTGCAAAATAGAAATGAATATAGACATTTTTAGACAAACAAAAACTGAAGCAATTTGCTGGCTGTTGCTTTTCTCATTGCTGGGACAAAATACTGACACCCAAAGTTAAAGTAGATAAGCTCCCAGTTAACTCAGTCTGTAGAGGTTTCAGTCCATAAGGGGCTGACTCCAAGGCAGGGTGGCACGACAGAAAGGTATTGCAGAGGAGAAACAGTTCACGGAGGGCACAAAGTAGCAAAAGCAACAAGGAGCAACCACAGCTCTTTCTAACCCTTTATATCTTTTCCAGGCTACATAGGGTGGGTAGCACTCAGACCTTTAATCCTATTGCCCTTGAGCCTAGCATTGAACCATGAATCAACCCCAATGTCAAACATAGATCCAGCCACTCTGAAAAAGCCCCACCTGTGACTGCATAAAGGCTTTGGAGGGACAGCTAGATACAAGCCATGACATTTGCCAACAGGTAGTAAAAGAAAAACTAAAAGGAGACCTCGGGGAGAAGAAAAATAATCCCAGACAGAAATGTGAACAGGCAAGAGAGGATGGAGAGGCGACAAAGTACAAAGTGCAGGCCTGGCACACAGAACAAGTTTGACCACCTAAGACCAAAAATGTAATGTCCTGGGCTTGGATTACACCGTAGAACTAAAGTGAAAGACAACAGTATTACAAAGGACAGGAAAGGTAAGTAAGGTCCTCTCTCTACTCAGGAAAGGTAAGATTCACAAGTCAAGGATGACGGTTATGGTCCCTAGGAGTGGTGGCTAAAATGCTATGTAACTAGGTTAATAAAAATGAAAATTAGCCATAATATCTTATTGATCCAAATGAAGGGGAACATGAATATATAAACAGATAGTCTCAGCAGACAAAGAATAGTACAGTAGGAGATATAAGCCCAAAATGTTGGTAGTTACAATAAATACAAATTGACTGGACATGCCAAATTGAAGACTAAGATTGCCAGTTTAGACAAAAATGAAAACAAAATCCAACTGTATGCAACTGAAAAGGACCTAGAAATGTTAAAAGTAAAAGGTGAACAAAAGGGGTAAATTTGAGAGTACTGATCAGATGAAAGTTAGATGTGGCACAAAACATTGCTGCAAATGGCAGATGCCTCATCATGCTACAGCTCAACTAAGCAAGGTATCATAATCCACCCAGTGACATTGCTTCAAAATATGTAAAACATTGACAGAAATAAAAGAGGCAATAGACAAATCCACAGTTCTGGTGGAAAGCTTAAGGCACTCACTTTCTCGATTGCTAAGTGATCAAGTGGGTGAATGTCAGCTTGTGTGTAGAAAGTCTTAGCAGCCTTGGGCTAGCCACCATCCAGAGATGCTGCCACACCGATGCTGGGACACACATCCTGCCAAGTGGGCCAAATGTCTGCCAAAACCCACCAGGACAAGGCCACAAGCAGCCTTAGGAAATCCCAAAGGACCAAGATTACCCCAAGTTTATTTTGTAGCCACAGTGAAATCAGACTAGAAATCAGCAATAGAAGATGCCCTGTAAATGGTGCACATGTCTTCGAATTAGACAACACACTTACAGTCATCCAGTTAATCCAGGAAGAAATCATGAGAGAGTTTTAGAAAATACTTAAACACACTCAGAGAATAAACATACTACACATCAAACTTATGAAACTTGCCCAAAAAAGAGTTTAGAGGAAAGATACAACCTGAAATACTAGAAGAAAGCCTGGAAAACAGTGACTTGGGTTTTGGTTTCAAGAAGATAAATACGAGACAAAAAAAGAAAGAAACAGATAACTATAACAGTAGAACCAATAAAGTTAATATAAATATGTAACTGGAGATGTGGACAAAGGCCATGTTGGCACTAAAGAATAGTGATAAAATAAATAAACAGAGCTAGTAGAGAAAAACAGGAGAGAAAACAAAATTTCTGGTATCAGTTTTTAAAACTTCCAATATCAATTAAAATAAGGGCTGGGTATGGTGATGTGAGCCTGTAAACCCAAGTACTGGGAAAGCTGAGACAGAAGGACCACAAATCTAAGGCCAGGCTGGGCAATATAATGAGACCTTGTCTCAGAAAAAGGCTAATAAGATCATGTTATTTTAAATCTCACTCATATTTGGACCAAATGGATAAACTAAAGAAATACAATTATCCAAAGTGACAGAAAAATAGAAAATATTCTGATGGAACAGATAAAATAGAATTAATTCACAATCAACATGATGGTGGGCTTAGTCATAAAGAAACTATAGGTTATTACAATTGGCATGCAAAAGTAGCAAAGTCACTGTTAAAGGCTATAAGATCAATCAAAAACATTAATTCTATTTCTGCATACCAATTACAAATAAGTAGAAAATGAAAATTGTTTAAATGATTCACTTTTTGGTGGCATCAAAAAAAAAATAACTAGGGAGGACACTAACAAAAGATTTGTAGTATTTCTGTATTGGAAACTATAAGCCCCATCAGGAGATGCTGAAGAACTAAATAATGGAGAATGGTCCCTCATTTGCAGGCTGGAATCTCTGCATTATCAGGATGCCAATTCTCCCCATGGGCAGAGGGCTGTAGAAATAACATTTTCCCCTTCAGCTGTTGCTCTAGCTCTGTCCCCTGAATCATTAGTCAACATGGTTTTCAGCAAAGATGTCCCAGTGGCTGATAGGTCAGGAACCTCTGACAGGTGACTCACGGAATCACAGCCCTTGTAGGGATCCTGGAGCCACGCCAACTCAGCCCCCACAGTGGTGGAGCTCATTCCCTTGTGGAGACAGGAAACAAAAGCGCTACTCATAAAAGGGGGAAAAGTGATAAATTTGACTTCATTGAAATTAAGAACTTCTCATCAAAAAGGTACCACTGGGAGTGAGAAGGCAAGCTGCAGAGCGGGAAAGACACTCTCAACACACAACTGATGACAAGCTGGTGCCCATGTGTAGGAAGGGCGATGTATCCCTTAGAGGTTTAAAAAAAAAGATATTTCAATAGAAATGCGGCATGAGATTGAATTCACAAAAGATACATGCCCAGCAACATTTTAAATATGTTCATTAGTCATCATGGAAGTGCAAAAATTAAAACCACATCAGACACCAGTAGACATGCCCCAGAATGGCTAGGATGAAGGAGGGGTCAGCCTGTGGGAACAGCTGGCTAGGGTGGAAGTTAAGGTGGAAAGTGATTTGGAAGATCTGGAGCTGAATAACCTAGAAATTCCATGAATGGGCCCAGGCCACAAGAAACACGTAACTGTGGTCACCATATAACAAGTATTGGAAGGCTCAAGACGGCAGCATTCACGGTAGCCAAAAGAGGGAATAAGATGCTGGTGGGGGGGATGAGAAGTGTGGTGTATTGATACCCTGAGGCAAAGAGGAGGGATGGTCACTGCCTGAGGCCACCAGGGTGGGGCTGGCCACATCCCACTGGGTGAAAAGCTCCTGCTGAAAAGCCACCTCAGCTACGGAAAGTCTGTGCACGGCCCATGTCTTCAGGGGCTGGTCTCTTAACTGCCATGTGGGTTTGGCCCACTGTGAAGAATCCACTTTAGCACTTTATGTAATTTTGTGTTGTACATTCTATTTCAACAATAAGCTTTTGAAATCGATTTCACTTTTGCAAACGTGAAGCTCTGACTTGAAGCCTTGAGCTCTACTGAGGAGAGCTGCCCATACAGAGGAACACAGGCCATCTGGGCCCCTCTGACTCCCTCTGCCAGCCACATTTCATGGGCAGTGGTAACCTAAGTGTGTATAGTGTCTGGTGTTGCTCAGAACTGTGAGATCATGAGAGCCACAATAGACGAGAGAAAGGAAAGCCTGGAGTGCACAGGTTGAAGTCATAATCTGACGACAGCTCATGGAAGCCTGAAGGCCCCTTCCTGCCTGGATGCGGGAGGGCCTCTTTTGGGGAATCATGGAGCAGAGAAGGACCAGAGGAAAGACCACTGTGGAATTTTTCACCTGTTTTGTTTGGGTCTGTGTGCACTTTAGGTCATGTAAATCCCATGTCTTACATAAGCAAATGCACAGAAAGGACAGTCTTCTGACGAGTCAGTGACTTCCTTGGGTCTCTGCTGCCCCCTTGTGGCAGTACTTAGTCACTCCCAGCAGGGCTGAATAACCTGCCCTTGCAGGGCAGCAAACACCCTGCTGTGACCACAGCTCCTGGGATCCGGGAAAAATAATGAGTGGCCTTGGGTCCTAACAGCCCCCATAACTTTTGTTATACACAGGCTTGGCAGAACCTCTGTGTCAGTGAGCAGCATTTCAACATCCTGAATGAGATTCCTCCCACATTCCGAGTCATCTTTCTGCACTACTCAAGAGACAGGCAAGCCTTTTTGGCCCTGATCCTCCTGGAAAGAGTGAGGCAGTTGTGGCTGTGGTGGGGACAGCTCTATGATCCAGTATGGATGGGCCTGGATGTCAAGGCCTGAGATCACCATTGAAGAAGAGCAAAGAGCGAAGGGCTGGCCAACCTGCCCGCAGTGACAGGAGACCCACATTGTGTCAACAGGGACTCTTGTGCTGCCTGTTTTAATTTCCAGTCTTGACGAGGTAGTACATGGCCTGGCTTCCCAGAATCCTGTCTGCCAAGGCACATGGTAGAAGGAGAGAGAGAGAGAGAGAGAGAGAGAGAGAGAGAGAGAGAGAGAGTATGCCTGTGGTGTATGAGGTTGCAGAATTGGCCTCCTCAAGCTTCTCTGAGACCCGAGAGCTTTGAGGTGCATCTCCTCTTGGAACTCACCTGTGACCCTGCACCTGTCAACAGGTCCCAACTATATGGTGCTGCCTACGAGAGACCTAAGTCCCCGCCTGTAGCCAAAGGGAAGGCACTACAAGCCAGCGGTGAGCTTGCCTATGAGTGGGGCTGTGCAGGTGCTGCGGGTGGGTGTAATGCTGATACACAGTGGGACCTCCCACTTCCAAAAGACAAACACCAACCTAGCAGCCATCCTTGGTGGGCATGGTGGACCCAGCCCTCCACACAGACCATGTGGACAGCTGAGCCCAGGCCCTACAAGGGAAATGAAGCACCATTTTCCCATGAGTACAAAGAAGGCACCCAAACTGGGGTTGTACCTGCAGTGTCTAAGGCCCCCTCTATTTACTCTTAGCCCTTCTTCATAGAGCTTTCCAGGCCCAAGCAGGGCCAGCAGCCTCACTTCTGGGGTCAGGCACTTGGGCTGTGGAGAAGCCCACCCCCAATGTACACTAATATCCCTACTTCCTCTCACTATTGCCTGCGGCTCTACTTTCAGCTCCATGGGGTTCATGAGTACTCCCATGTCTCCGCAGGCCATTGCAAAGTGATGCGGGTGGCTGTGAGCCCAGCTGCCTTCTCAGACCTGCTGGCCAAGGCCCAGGAGTTCTGGGAGCAGACCCAGGCCCAGGTGTACCAGGAGGACATAGCCCAGACTCCAAGCACTGTAAGGCCTGAGGCTCTGAGAGGCAGCCTTAGCCTGCCCCTCAGAGAACCAAGGACCCTAGGTGGGGTGAGGGCATGGGTCTCTGCCCAAACCTCCAGATGGACTAGGGTGGGGCAGTTCTTTTTTCATTTTTGGCCAGATTTTGACCCTTCAGTAGGGAGCTGAACTGAAACTGCTTTCTGGGGTACAGGTCAACCTGTTCTGGGGGCCTGGCCCACAGGTAGGACCCTCCATGGTACAAGCAGAAGAAATAGAAGGGAGCTAAGGGCTTTGGAGTGCCCTCCAGAGGGTGGGGTTGGGGAAGCAAGCAGCATGAAGCAGGCAGGGCCCACAGTGCACCTGCACAGGCCACATATACCCCACCCTGTCTCCAGGACCATTTGTGGAAGGGTAGGACCTTGGTCCTTTCCCTCCAGACTGCCAACCTGCTGACCTGGATGGGTCTCGTGGGATCCTGACTACAGGTTGCAGGTAGATTGGGACAGGACTCAGGCTGTGCGCCCACTGAAGAGAAAAGCCCCTATCTTCGAAGGCTCAGTAGTGTCCTGGAGCCTATGGAGGAGTACCTGAAGCCTATCTTCCCCCTGCTCAGCTCCCCTGACCTCAGGTATGGGCCTACCCCTGCCCTTTTTTTGTACCAGGGATCAAACTTGGGTCCTTGCACTTGCAAGGCAGGTGGTGGAACCACTGAGCAAAATCCCTGGCCCTGGGCCTACCTTTTAATCTCTACTGTGTGGAGCCCCCTTCCCAAAACCCAACAGGATCTGTGTGGTGGGGTAGGGTGCCACAGGAGTCCAGAGCTGTCCTCCAGGGATCTCAAAGCACCAGAGGCCCTAATGCTTGATTCTGGGGACCCCCATGCTCCCACCCCAAAGGGATAGTACGTGCTCAGGCAGGGCCTCTAGAGCCCATCGGACTCCTAGTCCACTGTGGCATGGAACCAGCAAGTCCCATCCGGTCCAGTCCTGACCCTTAGGTTTATTTGGGGGTGAAAAAGTGGCAGGGGCTGGGGTCGGAAGCATGCTTTGCTTGCAAAGCAGTAGGCTCAGTTCATACTGTGAAGTCATCTGGGTCGAAGAAGTGAGCTGTGCCATCATTGCCTTTGCAGGAATCAGGCCACCGTATGCTTTTCATTTTCTGTATTTTGCTTTTATAACTTGTACACATAGCTCTAACTTTCAGATTGCAGATGCCCACAGTTGTGCCTGACACCAGTAAATCAAAGGGCAAAGAAAAGGAAAGGAAAATATCCATCTTGCCAGGTGAGTGGCCTCAGGACACAACCACAGGACCACTATCCACTTGACTCACATCCACCCCACACCTAGGGTGGCTCATGTCGGGAAAGCTGAGGAGGTGAGGAACCAAGGGCAATGTCCATGCAAGCCAGTGCCAGAGCCACTGGCAAGACCTGCCAGACCCCCTCTGAGGTTCTCCAGTGTGTGGGCGGGGTGGGAGGCCTTGAAAAGCTCGTATGGCCTCTAACAACCCTGTCCTTTCTGGGTCAGTGTCAGTTCTCCACACAGCAGGGGAGCAGCAGTGCTAGGCCTGAGGGACAGAAGGCTCTGATGCTTTTAGAAAAAACAGTTGTTATTGCCCTGAGCTCAACCTGAGGCTGTCACAGGGGAGGCCAACACCCCTGCTGGCCATCTGCTGAGTGCTGGGTCCTGATCCTACTTTTAGTTCAGGTCCTATTATTTCTTACTTGCTTGGGATGAATGTTAGACTCTGTGCACAACATAACTAGGAAATGTGTCAAGGTTTTCTTTTCTTTACCTGGCACCTTCGCTTTTATAAAGCACTCTTTTAAAAGAACAATTTCATCTGTTAAATTTTTATTTGCCTGCTTTTCTGTTTTCCACAAAGAATTATTGAGCAGAGAATAAAGTGGATCATTAAGTATCTCTCCAGGAAAGAGCCTTGATTTCCAGAAGTGTCAAGTGCTTTTTCTCCAGTCAGCAGGCTACATGGCTAGGAGGCAGAGTGTCCCAAGAACTGTCAATTAAAATCAGACCTGAAGATGGAGGGTTTCAGGAATTATATGCAGTCACTAGGAAAACACTAGTTTCTCAATTTATACTCTATCGACAAGCCAGAGTGTCCTACCACTTGAGGCTGTATGAGTAAGCTAAGATTCTGCCCTAAAAGCTGCCAGTATCAAGATAAGAAAGGAGCTGAGGGACTGGGGATTTATCTCAGTGGTTCTGCCACCTGCCTCGCAAGTGCAATGGACCAGAGTTCGATCCCCAGTACCACCAAAAAAAAAAAAAAGGAGCTGAGGATAGAGCTCGGAGGTAGAATACAATGCATTGGGATTGGAGTCAATCTCCAGCATGGCAAAAGAAAAAAAAAAACTGATAGTGGTTTCAAGTAAACCTTTGGTTTATAAATAAAATCCAGTTAAGTGGCCCACCACTTAGCAGTAATTATGACTGCAAAAAGAGCAGATTCTCACAAGTCAGCCAGTGTCCTTGTCATAGCAGTCACCTAGAGAAGAAACTGAGTCACAAGGGCAATGCTGCCCTTCTTCCAAGGATCCCCTACAGGACCTGCTCTTAGGAAAATCCTCAGGAAGGGTGTTGTTTATTCTTTGAAAGGCATTTCCTGGTTAAAGGAGCCACGCCATTGCAGGTCAGTCCTCGGGAATCAGATGTCTAAAACAGGGCAACATCGATATGCGGACCGGGGCAAGACCTGGTGCCCCCTCGGGTGTAAGCTTGACCTCACACCATTGACACCAGTGCCCAGTCCAGGGGCCCTTGCATGACCTCAGGGACCACACCTCTCTGCAAGCTGGGCTGAGATCAGACTTTTCACATCTGCACATCGGTGGCTGACATGGTCAACCGAGTCAGGACTCCAGGGATGAAGCTGAGGCCCATGGAGTTTGCCCCATCTTCAGGAGCTTATGTTCTCGCCTGCTTACGCCGCTACTGTTGTTGTGTCCATAGTTCATCCTGAGACTGAGGACAGCGTGATCCTGATTGTGGACAGGCACCTTCTGGAGCTGCCACTGGAAGGCCTCTCTGTGCTCCGTGAGGGCGCCATCTCTTCTGTGTCACGAGAATTTTCTCTCCAGATGCTGTGGAATCGCCTCCATAAAGAGGACCTAGGTGAGAGCCACCTTTAGCCACATTGTTTCATCTTAAAATGAAAATGTTTAAATTACTTTTCAGATAAAAGAACATTAACTCTTATCCCAAAAAAGTGAGTAATGCTACAACACTTCCCTAGGCAGTTATTCAATCAAAGATAATTACAGATTTTAAAACCTAGGCACAGTTTATAGAATGCCTGCCCTGTGCTAGTGTTCTGAGGGGTTCACCCTGCGGTGAAGAACTTTAGCCCTGGCCTCTCCCTCACAGATGTTCCATGGAGGTCCTGGTGGCAATCGTGTTCCTAATTAGTCATTTACCTAGCCAGTGAGAAGCCAGAGGGAGAGCAGGGGGTCCTGGGTTAGGCCTCTGAGGTTTACAGCCAGAATTAGGGACAATCTTGCTCTGCTACCGGGTGCTGGTGTCCAACATGCCGGCTTGTAACAGTTCTCCAGGTTGTGCTCTGGGGATATGTGCAGTTTGGGGCATATATGTTGCACTCCAGTAAATATAAAATTAAATGAAAAATAAATAGATTGGAATTTGGCTACTATGGAAGATGAAGTTTTAACAAGAGCCAAATTTTCCCTTCCAATTTAAACAACTAAACGCCAGACAGAACATACCAAGTGGACACCAGGCGCGCAGAGCAACAATCCATCCCTGCGAGAGGAGAAACGAGTGGCAGCTCCACCGATGACCCACCAGGCTTCACGGAGAGCTTCCAGGCCCAAGCAGAGTCGGGAACAAGCAGGAGGAGCCCAGGGGTCTCTGTGGGTGGAGGAGACGCAGCTGAGCAACTGGGAAGGCAAAGTGAATGCAGTTAGAAGGGCAGGACACCCCGGAGAGACATCGAGGCATCGGTGCAGGGAGAGAGCTATAGACACCTGCAGAGGACCCACAGGCCAGCTGAGAGCTGAGTGACGCCAGGGAGTGAGGAAACCACCCTAGGTCAGGGAAAGAAATAAGCAACCGTGAAAATGGTAAAAGGGGGCAAATACTATCTAAGGCGTTTTCCTGTTTTTAAAAACTCTTAAAAACACTTTTGAGCACAAATTTAAAGCCAAAAAATAGTAACAATGGTGAATTTTTATAAAATATAAATGTAAAATGTATAATATAATTATGATTATATTAGATGCATATAATGTAGTGTATTACTTGAAGGTAGACTATAATGAATAAAAGATACAAACTATAAACCTCAAGCAACTATTAAAAACAAACGAACAAATAAATGTAAAAACTTCTAAGAGCTTATAGCTAGTACACCACTGAAGAGGATAAAATAGAGTCGGAAATACTCCTTCAATGTTCAGTGTCATTCGGCATTAGAGAAACACATTGACACCACGGTGGTATACTACCACACACCATGTAGGATGGCTAAAATTAAAAAGACTGGCCATTCCAAGTGCTGGCAAAGATGTAAAGAAACCATGCCTTCATGTACCACCAAGGGAGGGATACATGGCCGAACCACTGTGAAAACAGTGAGTATATTCCGTGGGTAAGCACCCAAAGGAAATGCTCACCACGATGTTGAAGAGACGTCCAAACACCCATATTTATTACAGTATTGCTCACAACAACCAGCAAACAGAATCAACTTGAGGGCCCATTGATGAAGGAATGGGTAAAGAAAAGATGACACATATCCAAAATGACATAAAGGTGTGACTGAAAAATCGTTTTTTAGAAAAATAATTACAGTAAGAGAGATATGGTCATTAATCTGCCTCAAGAGCCTCCCTCTTCTAGCACACTTATGCCATCATTCCTCCACTTTCTGAAGCAGTTCTGGAAGTCCTCTTTCACGAATCTCTTTAGTTGCACTTTCACGGCTACCCTGATGTCCTGAACCCATTCAAACTGTGTACCTTTTGACTCTGGGAAAGAGGCAGAAGTCACAGGGTACTAGATCCAATGAATAAAGTAGGCGAGGACTACCATAAAGTTTCTATTTGACAGAAGTTGCCACAGATGTTTGATCAGTGGGGCAATCAAAACAATACATTGAATGTTTAAAAATTATTACAGTTAAAGTCACATTTACATCAGTTCCCCCTCAGAATACTCCCCCTTACTTCAGACACACTTACCCCCTCACTCTTGGAAATGTGACTTTTAAAACTTGTAATAACATTTTAAAACGTGTAAATATTTACGGTGGTTTTTGATCACCCCCCTACCATTCAGTCATGAAAAAGACAAAACTGGGCTGGGGATATAGCTCAATTAGCAGAGGGCTTGCCCAGCATGCACAAGACCTTGGGTCCAATCCCTAACACTGATTTTGTTGTTGTTGTTGTTGTTGTTTAAAATGAAATTTTGGGGGTCGGGGATTTAGCTCAGTGGCCCCGCACCTGCCTGGCAACTGCAAGATCCTAAATTCAATGCCCAATACCCAAAAAAGAAAAGAAATTTTTAAGAAAATCTTGTCACTTGAGACCACATGGATGAATCTGGAGGGCACCATGGTGAGTGAAATAAGCAGGCACAGATAGTCAGATACCACATGATTTCACTCATATTTGGAATCTCAAAAATTCATCCCGAAAGTAAAGTACACAGGGTGGCTACCAGGAGGCATGAGCTGGCAGGAAGTTGAAGACACCTTGATCAGAGGATCCAAAACTTCAGCTATGGTTTACTGTGGTTAAAAATAGGTGATGGATTCCTGAAAGTTGCTGAGTAAATCTGAAGTGTTTTCATCACAAAGAAACCATGGGTGTGCGAGGTGCGCTGTCTTGGCTGGCTCAGCAGGGAGTCCCACACTGCACAGGTGTTTCACACCAGCCAGTTGCACACAGCAAACATGTGCAGTTTGTGTTCATCCATTTTTTAAAAAAATGAATCGATAAATTTAAATTTTTTAATAAAATGAATAAATAAAAAGATCAGCCATATCAAGTATTGCAAAGATATGGAGACTGAAGCTCCCACACACTGATGATAGAAATGACAATAGCAGACCCATTTGGGAAAACAGTTTGGAAGTTTCTTAGAAAGTTAAGCATAGTCCCACCAAGTGACCCAGCCATTCCACTGCCAGTGCTTACCCAAGCAACAAGGAAGCCCATGTCCACACAAAACCTCAATGCAGATGCTTGTAGTAACTTTTAAAATAATAGCCCAAGTCTGGAAACCACTAAAATTAAATGTCCAGAAGCTGTTTGGTGGTCATTGGAGTGTCTGTTTGAATGGATGAGACAAACACATGATGGTATATTTTTTAAATGGAATATTACTCAGCAAGTAAAAGGTAAAGGGAATGGGGATTGGTACCTGGAACAACTGGATGAACCTCAAAAGAATTATTCCAACAAGCTAAAAAAAGAGTATAAAGTAGATTTCATTTTTAGAGAATACTGGAAAATGCAAACTGATTTGTATTAGAAACCAGATAAGTAGTCTTCTGGGAGGGGTGAGGAGGAAGAGCATGGGGGAAGGGAGGATTGATCTGTCTCAGAGCTGCATGGAGGGTGGATTTCATCCTGACAGAGGAGCCATCAGAACTCAGCTCCCTCATCCGGGGTTCCCCAAAAATGTGGCCTCTGTGAAATGCAGACAGGCAGAGAGCCCAGACCCGTGCCTCCATTCTGTCGTCTGTGGAAGCCCTGGCCCAGATAGACAAAAAAGAAGTGAAAGAAATGAGGTTGGAGAAAAGAAGACTGCCTCTATTTGGGCACAAAGCTGTCTACGCAGAGCTTCAACAGGACGTTCAAGTCATGGAGACTGTTCAGTGTAGAAAGGCTGTAGGTTCCCATGCAGAAGAAATCAGCAGGGGCCTTGGGCTTGGCACACACACTGGTAAGTGCCTCATAGAGTATTTGAATGGTCAGTGGAGTGGGTGTGGGAGCCTGGAGACTGGTTCTTCTGGTCCTTTCTTGAGGGCTGTTCCAGCTCAAGCATTTGCATTTAAAAATGTATTGCCATTTTGACTCTACAGAATTTAAAGTCTGTTGTTCTCACTGTTTATTTATTTGAGAAATTCACAGAATATAAAATTAACTATCTGCTTTGTTTTGCCATACTAGAGATTAAACCTAGGACCTTTGCACCGAGCTTCATCCCCAGCTCTTTTTTAAAAAACATTTTTTGGTGGGGGTGGAAGAGACAGGGTCTCATTAAATTGTCAAGGCTGGGCTCAGACTTTCGATCCTCCTGCCCAAGAATAATCCCACACTAATCCCAGAGTACTGGGATTACAGGTGTGTTCCACCACACCCAACCTATAAAATTAATTTTTAAAGTGAACAATGCAGTGCCAGTTAATGAATTCACAATGTTGTGTAACCATCACCTCTGCCTTCTGCCAACACATCACCACTGCATTTTATTGTCTTCAACAGAAGGAAGTGTGAAAAAAGAGGGCAAAAGCAAAGATTTCAAGAAGAAAAGTCTGGCAAAGAAGGGAATGAAGGTAGGTGGACAGAGGGAGTGAGGGTCCTGGCTGCTCTGGGGCTCGTATCAGTGACACCTGTTACCTCTGGCAGAGCTATCAAGGCTGGTAGCCCAGCCCACGAGAGTAATGGCCATCATGGGCTCAGCTAGAGGTCAGCATCCTCTCTCAATAGTGGACAGAGGACACCTGATGTTTGTGTCTGTTGCTACAGGGCTCTACGGTCCGGATAATCCCATCAGACTGCATCATTGTCGACTCAGACAGCTTCAAGTGTATCCTTTGTTAGGCACTTGTAACTTCAAGACTCCCACCTCGTACCCCTGTTTGTCCTTAACTGAGACCCAGTTGTGGTGGATCCATTCGAGGAGGCCCAGGGCATAGGTGGGTGCTTCGTACGGCCCCTCAACAGCATATTCCAAGGCTGCTCATGCCGCCAGCTCCTCTTACAGCTGTGTGGAAATGAACTCCAGCTGGCCTCTGGTGCCCCTCTTCTGGGACTCTCCATCTAAATGAGTGCTGGCCCTTTGCTGCTGCAAATATTTTCATTTTTCTCTCTTTTTCTTTTACTGCACTGGTTTAGCAGTCTATCCACAAAGGGGAGGCATGCTAACATCCTGCTTGCACTAGCCCTGACTCCTGCCCTGGGGCTGTGGGGTGAGGAGACTCAGTTCCCCATCTCCTCACACCTCCCAGGAATTAAGCTGTGCCTTGTATCCCTCTAACTCTTCCTACAGAAATGCTGACTCCTGTCTCCATAATGCGGGAAATTTTGGAAAGATTCCGAGAAACATTCACTACGCAATGGGTGGGGCATCTGGGAAGTCAGCACTTTCCAAGGTTTGGATTCCGCTTTCCCACAGCCAGTGCCCAGGGTGCAAAAAGCACCTGACGCCCACCACAGCCACTTCCCATTCCTACCAGGTCTATCCCATGAAGCATCAGACACAGCACTGGATAGAGGGTGCTGTCATTACCCAACTATACAGATAGGGCCAGAGCCCCAGGGTCACGTAGCAGGACAGAGTTCAGTAGCACAGTCTGCTGCTAGATGACTGACCTTGGTTCCAAGACCAAGTCCAGACACACTGATGAGTGGCCAGTCATGAAGGAGGGCTGCAGGCAGGGGGGACAGGCTGATCCATGTCACAGGCCCCCACATACATCCCTGTCCTTTGTGTGGGTGGGGTTGGAGAGGTGCATGCTGAGGTAGGGTGTACAAGCGAAGGCATCAGTAGGGTGTGTGCAGAGTAGGGTTGCTGAGGGTGGAACGTGAAAGGTAGGGGCTCCAGTCTGGTCACTACCTCCTGTATCAGAGGTAGGTGCTTGTTGGTGCCTCCAGAATTTTGTTGTGCTTGGCTTTTAGGGAAGCTCCTTCTAGTATTTTCCAGAGTCAGTGTCATTCAATGAGATGTATTTATTCCTGGAGAGAAATCTGTTCTTGGGGAGAATCTATCAGAGAGAGGCCAACTGTGGGCATTGGGAAACAAAAATAGGTTGGCTTTCAGGGCAGGATTTGGAGTGGCTTGTAGACATGGGGGACATCTGATTTAAGAATCCGCCCTGAGGTGGTGCATCATCTGCTGCCTTTCATCCCGTGCAGCCAGGCTGAGTGGGAGCAGGTTCTGGGCAGCTGCAAAGGCTTCTTCTTCTATGGGATGGAGAGCTTCCTGTCGCATATATTGGTGGAGAGACTGGTTGCCATGAATCTGCAAGGTGAGTTTCCCTCTCTTCATAGCCAGGCTTTGCCAGAATCTCTGGGTGCAAGGCAAATCCATTGGGAAGCAGTGCAGCCATCACCATCAAATAGAAGCACCAAAGCCTGAGTTGTTTTAGGAAGGCACAGATCCCACCTTCACCCCATCCTCTGGCCTTCTCCATTTCTCAGAGGGCTCCACTTTGGATTTCTAGACCTGGCAAGTGAGGGTCAAGCATCAGGATGGTTCAGGCCACAACCTCTACCTTCCTGATAAAGTACTGGGAAACGAGGTAGAGGTAGAGCCAGGGCCTCTTTACAAGCTTAACTTCAAGGGAGATGGTGCATGAAGGAGGAGGAAGCACAGGTGCCTGCTGTCCCCACTAGGCCCATCCTTATATGGCTGGACATCCTGGCCATAAAAACGCCCTGAAGTCCATCTCAGCCAGGCCTCTTAGTAGTTGGACAGCCATTCTCTATGTATCTGTAGGGGCTCCTGTAGTCATTTTGGACTCTGGAACCTGTTTCAGTGGGCACACCTAATCTGGGTAACCAAGCTTTATGTGCTCAGAACTGCCCCCACATCTCAGAAACCTTCATTCACCCAGAAACCTAGGGTGCTCGGACAACAATCCAACCCCTCAAGTAGCCCATTTAGGGGTACAGTGACTCCAGCTGGTCCCACCTGTGGCTAGCTCACCCCTCCCCAAATGAACCTCATTCCCCTCCTCAAGAAATGCCACAAGCTTCCCAGTGAGGTGGGGCAGCTGACATTCCCCAGGCCTCAGAGTGGGCTTTCCCCAACTTCCTGCCGCCTGGGCTGTCTGTGCTCAGTGGGTCCCTGAAAAGAGGCTGTTGCATGACAAGTTTGATTGGTCGGGGTTTTCCACACTTCCCATGGCACTCTGGTGCACAGGGCAATAGCTGCTCAGCTGGCCCTTGTGGTGTCCTGCAGAGTGCCAGATGATGATCCTGCTTGACCTAATGCGCTCCTACAAGAGCCTGCAGTGGCAGATGAAGACCTCAGACAGCAAGAGGTACCTGGAGGAGAAGCAGCCTGAGAGCCCAGTGGGGAGTACGGGGACAGCAGGGGCAGTGTTCTGCTCCTCCACTGAAGAGTCCCATGAGAATCAAGGCCATGCGCTCAAGGCAGTCTTGGGGGTGGGGATAATGCCCTTGGGTCGATGAGGACCTGGAAGGGGTGCAGAGGGCAGGGACTGGGTCAACGAGGACAGGAAAGGGTCTAGTGAGGTGAGGCCGGGAGGGGGCAGGGCCTGGTGTGGAAGGATAGGAAGAGGGCAGGGCCTGGGTCTTCAAGACTAGAAAGGGCACAGATGCTTGGGTCAGTGAGGACCCCTGAGGGGCTGCTATAGCAGTACAGGAGTTTGTGAGCCTGGCTGGAGCTTTAGGATCTGCTGGACTTGGGTACTGGGCTAGAGGGGCAGCAATGGAGAGGTCACCTCAGCTTCAGGGCTCCCCAACACCCACACACTGCAGGACCATGGGTCCCCTGGTCATGGTGCCAGCTTTCCCTGCAGACTCTGTCTCAGGGCTCAAAGCTGCCAGATGTATTTGAAAGCACTCAAAAATGCTGTTGCTTGTTAAGTTGCACAGAGCTTTGCAGCTGTTTATTTTAGAACTGTAAAAGCATCGGGCCAGACATGCATTCCAGCAGCTGGTGCAGTTTGGGATGTAGGTAAGTGGGGCCGGCTCGTCCTGGACCCCTTGGTGCCAGCCTATGGGTGTTGGATCCCCACAGCTTATTACAGCAGTCCTTGAAGAAGCCCATTGAGACAGCCATCTTCCTGAGCCTGGTGGGGGTCCAGAGCATCACAGCCAACCAGTGGCCCACACGAATGCAGGACAATGCTCTGCGGGCCAGCATCCTGTGGGAAAGTGAGTGGACACCTGAGCCTGTCCCAACGCCTTCTGGGCTCCTCCCCAGAAGCCTGCCAAGGGTGTCCCTTACCCATCTGAAAGACTTTCCTTTCCTAGACCTGTTAGCAGTTGGCAAGCCAATTGGGAGGACAGTCCGTCTTCTCCAGAAGATGGGAAGTAATGAAATGGTAAACCAAGGTAAGGTACAGACTGTTCATCTTTGCTGCCCTCCTTTAGCACTGTAGTTGGTATCTTCCTGCTACCATCCCAAATGGGAACCTCAGAGACACATGACATTCCCAAAGTCCTACAGAGACAGGGTGTCCTTGCTTCTGTTGAGAAACAAAGGGATTTGAAGGCATGAACTTGGCCAAGGACCAAGAGGAGAGAGCACTGCCCTTGTCCAGATTGTCTGAATAACCTCTTGGGTGACCATAAGCTGAAGAAGAGGGAAGGCAGCCCAGCCTTCAACAAAGAATGGCAGCAATGAGGTCTGGCTCCATAAACCTTTAGGGAAAAATGTATCAGCCATTAGAGCTGCTAACTCCTCCTAAACAGTTCAAGTACCCAAATTCTAAAGGCTCAGGTGTGCTTTTTGGGAATAGATGGAAAAGCTCAAGTAACACCCGTACTTCATTTCTCTGCTAAAGAGAAGACTTTTGGGATTTGGGCCACATAAGCCAGGCAGCCTGCAAGCCACAGTATGCTAGCTGGGTCACCCTGGACATGGCAGGTAATCCCCAGCCAAGAAGAAAAAACTCTAGGAAAACAAATCACCAGGTTGAGAGTTTTGTCCTATGGGAGTCATAGTGATCAGACTGTTTGATGTTTGCTGTCTGTCCCCCCTAAAGCCCTAACAGCCTCCAGCCTCCTGGGGAAAAGTCTCTGATAAGGGCATAGGATGGGACCTGTCCTCATAGACAAGACAAAACCCATCCACTCATCCTTCAGAGCAAACAGAATCTCAGTGCTAAGATGTGGCAAGAGCAGAAGAGAACAGAATCCAGATAAATTCCATGTGTGAATGCCAGTATAAAAATCAGATAGGACACTAGCTATTAGCATTTAGAGCTACATTGAGGGGATAATCTATAACTAAGAAAGACTTATCCTAGGTGCCTACAGTGTAGGTGCCAAAAACTAAGTGCTTGTTGAGTGAATGAGTGAGTTGAGTGAGTGGATGCGGAGAGGAGAGAGCAAATGAGTTACTAGGTGCCAGAAAGGTGGGTGAGGGTGGGTAATGTTAGTTCTCCTTCATAAGAAACAAGAAACACAACCCTGAAATGGACACCACCGCAGAGTGCCTTGCTGGTATGAGGAGCACATTACTTTGCAGTAAAATAGAGGGGAGAGCAGGACCGTGCCGCTGCGTGACCACCACCGCTTCATCTTGACCTACAAGTTCTGGCAAAGACAAAGGGAGACATGAACCTAAAACAACACACGTTGAAAAAGAAGGAACCAGTGATGCTTGTCCTCGTGGGCTGTCCTGCCCAGAGCAGGGGCATGGCTGAGGGTGCAGAGAGAGCATGAGGCCAGCCTCAGGATTCTAGAAGAGCCTTCCCTGAGCAGCTCCTGGGCCAGGGTGTGGGGAGGGAGGTGGGTGGGATACACCCAGCTCTCTGTGGCTGGCAGCTTCCTGTTCAGGGTCGCATCTCTACACTTTCAGGGGCAGTGGGGAAGAGTAGAGGTAGTGGGCGGCGCCTCCACAGTTGGATTCTACTCAGCCTTTTGGGAGACCTCAGGGTCCCCTGGATCAGGAGCATTGTCCATCTGCCTCATGCTCTAGCCCTTTCAGGGGCTGGACATCCTGATGGGGCCCAAACATGCTGCCTCCAGTGATCTTGGGGTTCACAGGTTCCCATCCCATCCTCTGCAGATGAGAAACCGCGAACTTCTAAGAGAAAGCTGACGTTCTTCCAGCCACAGCCCCGAAGTGAGGAGACCCTCCCCATCGCCCTCAACTTGGTCCTGTATGGATTGCCACACCAAGCCATAGGGTGACATCCACCTGGGCTTGATTCTGGACAGCTGCAGGTGTCAGCATTTTCCTCCAGGGCCACTGTCAGTGCTCTGTCTCTCTGAGAACTCCTCTTCCTCGCCCTGGGGCCCTCTCCAGCTCTGGGCACAGCCCGGCCTCTGTCTCCACCTCATGGTCCTGAACAGACAGCTGATGTCAGGGCAAGCACCTTCTGCTACTACTCGGCTTCCTGAACAAGAAAAACTGTCATACCACAAATTCGTTTTTGGTTTAAGTGTTTTAGTAAACAACAAACACAAATCTGTCGTGTGTTTTCTGGGACCCCATGCACCAGTGATGGAAGTCCTAGCAATCCCACACTGAGGGGCCCCTAGCCAGCACCCTAGCCACAAACACCAGTACCTTCTTGCTCTGTCAAAACTGAAAAGAGGATGCTGCCTGTGTGAAAGTGACCTGCCCAGCATTTACAGCCAGGATGGAAGAGAGCTTACACCCAGCTATGTGACTGCCTCCACAGCACACAGCACAGGGCTCTTCCAGGGAGATTCCTGGAACAAGGAAGGCTCCTGATGCTGGGTGTCAGCAAGTTATTTTTTGTTTGTTTGTTTTTGGTACCGGGAGTCAAACTCAGGTCCTTATGCTTGCATGGCAGGTGGTGGAACCACTGAGCTAAATCCCTGGCCCTATGCCAGCAAGTAATTTAAAGAGATGCTTTTCTACTTTAAAAATATGTACATTTTTGCTCTCTGTAGGCTGTTGCTACCAAGGCTCTAGGGAAGAAATTCATTTTTAAGTGATCCTTCTAAATTTTCAAAAATTTTCTCCCACATGACCAGAGGATCAAGTGTGGCCATAGATAGAACTGGTTCTCGCGGGCCCTGGATAACCCCTACCAAACCATGGGGCTGCAGAGTTGAGTTGTGGAATCCTTCTCACCCATTCAGTGGTCTTCTGGCTAGGACAAGGAGAAGGTACAGAAGAGTTCCAGAGGGCTGAGCTCTAAGCCATAGTGTGCTCTGCCTGCAATCTCCTTGTTCTTTCCCTTGTTAGAGACCCAAGGTTGGACTATTATTCCATTTTGGTTGCTAATAATACAACTCAACAGACTGGGTGAGTTAGAAAAATGGAGGTTTGTTTTGGCTCTGAGCTCTGGAGGCTCAAGAGACGATGTCTGGCAATGGCTTCTTGCTGGTACAGTCCCCAGGTGGTACAAGGCGTGTCATGGCAAGACATACAGACCATGTGTGTCTCCTCTGGACTCTGTCCCTCTTCTTACGAAACCATGAGGATTTCTGGGGACTCCTCCTTGATGACCTTATTTAATCTTAATCACCTCCTGAAGCCTCATCCCCAAACACTATGAGATTAGTATTCCCCCTTGGTACCTCACACTGGGGCTGAAATTTTAGCACATGTGCCCTTAGGAAACATTCAGACCATATCCGGATCTCAGCACTGGGGCCATTTCTTCATTCTGTGATGAGAAACAAAAAAGTTCAGGTCATGTGAGGAGAAAAATCACTGCCCTTTGTCCTGATCCTTTGTGGGTTTGGAGCTGTTTGTCACTGCAATGTCAGTGTCACGTGGGCAGCATGGGAAAAAGGCAGCAGAGGGAAGGAAGCGGTCTGAGGGGACCCCTCCTGCTAGACCCTAACACCCAGTTCAGTGGTCCTGCCCTCAGCCCTCTGCTTGGCACTAACACTTTTAGATAAGTGCCAAGACTCCCTGGGTCCTGACGTGTCCAAAAAACAGCACAAATTAAAATCATGCTGAAATACTGATACGTACCTATTAAAACAGTAAGTAAAAAATATAGTGCATAGATAGCACCTAATGCCAGTGAAGACCAAGGCAGACTTGTGTACCCTTTTGGGAATGCGAAGTGGTACAGCCACTCAGGACAAGTTTTGCAATTTCTCATGACCCAAAACCTGCACCTGCCCACAACCTGGCAATCTCACCCTGAGCTATTGACCCCATGGAAACAGAAATATGTTGGCACAATGCACATACATAAATACTCATAACAGCTTTGCTCATAACAGCAAAATACTGGAAAGAGCGAAGCTCAGACGTTCTCCAATGAGTGAAAGAGGAAATCCGGATATGTTTATTCAGTGTAGCACCACTGTATTATTACCTTTTCATCACTATGACAAAGTCACCTGAGATAACTTCTAAAAGGAAAAGGGTTATCTTGCTCACAGTTTGAGGGAATTTCAGCTCATGATCAATTGACCCCATTGCTTTTGGGCCTGTGGCAAAGCAGCATATAATGGCAGAAGCATATAGTGGAGTGAAACCACCCCTTTCAGGAAGCAAAAAAAAAAAATTAAAAAGAAAAAGGAATGAGGTTTAGGTCCAGGGTCTGGAAAACCTCTTTGAGGGACTGACCCCAGTGACCTAAGACCTCACACTGGGCCCCACCTCCTAAAGGTTCCACCACCTCCTCCTAACAGTGCCTTCTTGAGGACCAAGCCTTTAACGCGTTTCTTTGGGGAACATCTCAAATCCAAGCTGTAGCAACCATTCAGCAATAAAAACAAATGAACTCTTAATACAACAACCTAGATGGACCTCAAGGGTCCCTGCTGAGTAATAAAAGCCAGTATAAAAAGTTACATATTGTTACAGGACAGGGATGGGCTGACGGCAGCAGGAGGGAGCCTGTGATGGCCCCGATTTGTATGTTGATTGTGGCTGTGATACATATCTGTATAAAAGAGATGGATTGCTAAGCTGCACCCATGCATGTGTGCACACACACATGCACACAGATGAATACCTGTAAACATGGCCATGACAGAATGTGGTCTACAGTGTTGCTCACTAATGTCTTCAAACAGTATCAGACTCCTGATTTTGCTATTTACTACAGCTATGAAAAATGTCAGCAGAGGGGACCACGAGGGAAGAGCCCACGGTGCTACATCAGTAGTCACCTCTTATCTTCAGGGGATGCATTCGAAGATGCTTCCCCTCCCACCCTTGTATGCCTGCAATTGCAGATGGTGCTGAGCTCTGTGTATACTACTTTCTGCCATGAGTCTATAGTGTTGCCACATGGTAAGAGTTAACCTTCCATGTTTCATTCCCTGGTGTGTCCTCTACCTTACTGCTTTTGCACAGCGGAGCCATTAATAAATAAAACAAGGGTCATCTGAACACAAGCACTGTGATACCAGAAGAGTGAGATGATGACCAAGACAAGGACCAAGGACTAGCAGGCAGGTTGCACGTACACTGTCAAAGGGATGATTTGCAACTCTGTGCGATTCAATTTAAAATTTGTGAATTAGTTTCTCATTCTTTATGGCTAAGTAGTACTCCATTTTATTTTTTAAAAAATACACATCTTTTTTATCCAGTCTCCAGTTGATGAAAATTGGACTGTTTCCAAGTATTATCTATTACAAACTGGTGCTATACACATGGGTGAGCATATATCACTGTGGAATGATTCTTTTAATTCTTTGGGGAAGATACCCAGCAGAGGGATGGCCGGGTCAAATGGAACTTCTAATCCTAGTTGTTTGAGGTATCTCCATATTGATTTCCACAGTGGTTGCACCAGTCTGCCCTCCCACCAATAGTGGAGAAGGGTTCCTATCTCCCCACAATCCTGCCAGCATTTATTATTGGTTGATTACTTGATAGCAGCCATTCTTTCTAGGGTGAGGTGAAATCTCAGCATTGTATTCATCTGCATCTCTCAAATGACCAGTGATGTTGAACATTTTTTCATATGTTTATTTGTTGCTTTTACATCTTTCTTTGTCTGAAAAATGTATATTCATTTCAGATGCCCATTTTTGGATTGGGTCTTTATACTTGCCGGGTCTGATATTTTTGAGTTCTTTATATATTCTAGATAGAAGACCTTTGTCTAAAGAAGAGCTGGTAAAAAAATTTCCCCATTGTGGGTTGTCTCTTAGATATTAATAGCTAAGTGAATTCACAGTGAGGCCATACTCTTAAGTGAAATTAATGTCACACATCTGTAAATACCAAATAGTTTCTCTAGTGTGAAATACTAAAAATGTAAATAAGGATCAAAATATATAATTGACTGATATCGTGTAATAGGAAGAAAAGGTCTAAAAGAGTAGGAGAAGTGGGAGGGGTAGGAGAAAGGGAAAAAGAGAAAAGAAAAAATGTGTGAAAAGGAAAAACATGGAAGCAATGTTTTCATAAACAGGAAAGGGTGGAGGGGGCTGAAGGGAGGGCTGGGGAATGGGGAAAAATAAGAACTAAGATAAGTCATGTAAATGTACAAGATCCCAATGATGAATGTAACTGTGTTGTATACCTAATATGTACCAATAAACCATAAAGATGAAAATAATAATAATAAAATTAAATACAATTTGTGAATTAATTTAGTTCTGGAGTTTTCTGCATAATATTCTCCAACCTTGGTTGACTATGGGCAACTGAACCCACAGAAAATAAAAATGCAGATAAGGGAACTATTGTACTGTTTTTGCAGCTTCCTGTGAATCTAGATTAATTTGACATAAAAATACATTAAATGTACATCTTTGATAATGTTGAAAGGGTTATGTGTGACTCTCCTCTTTTTGTTTGATTTTTTTCCTTTTTTTCAAATATATATTCATCCTTGTTCTGGTTCTTTAAAAAAGCTGACTAATGACCAGGGAATAAATCCAAATCAGAATAGCACTGGAAATATGAGCTTTCTTCTAGAAAGACTTTGGCAGCCACCCAAACAACAAGAATAAAAGCTTCTGGAAATATTTCATCTGCAACCTCACATTTTTTACCTCATGCTGTGTCTACTCATGTGAGAAATATTAAACAGTGAGTGCTATTTCGTGTATCAAAGGCTTTAAAATAACTTTCTGAATTATGTCCTAGCAACATAACAAATCACATTATCAATTAGCTCCTATAGCAGAAGTGGCATCCTGTAATATATTCAATTGCAAAGGTGAAATTTATGTAATCCTAAAAACTATAAGGAGAAAAGAAATCTCTTGGGATTTATTGGTAATAATGGGAGACAGGAAGTAATTTGAATGGTGGATAGCCCCTGAGAAAGGGCGCCCAGCTCTGAAAGTTCTAAAAAAAAAAGCAGAGATACGACCTGGGTCAGCAAGGGGCTGCCCCAACCAAGAGCCCAGGGATGTTCCAGAGGGTGAGTGCCACTGCCTGTGCCCAGCCTCAGACTTTCCTGACATCAAGAGACCCACTTGTGCAGGTTAGAGTTGAAGCAGGGATCGGTCTGCCTTCAGCGAGGAATCACTTTTCAGTAAACACAGCCACGGCACAAGCCCCATATGGTCATGGAAGATCTAGACTAAGATGCACCCTTAATGGCCCATGACCTTCACCACATCACTCAAGAGCCCATTCCTCCCCTGGCGAATGCACATTGCACCTGGCTTTGGGCCTCTTGTGGGGAGCAAAAGGCTCACTTTTCAGGGCAGCGGAGGA